CAGGAAAGATATAGTACATTACAAAGAGAAAGAAAGAAAATCCTGCGCGCTAAGGTATAAGTGTGCCGCAGCGATGCAAAAAAGCAGAGAGCTCAGTGTAGACACTGCTCTGAAATGAGCAGAACACTGATTTTCAGCTCTTGCTTGAAAAAAAAAAGAAGGAAGACGCACGTGTATGGTAGAGAATAAGGTGGTGAAAATGTTGTAATATTGTAAACCTACATAAATATCAGAAATTAGGGAAATATAATAACTATAACTATTGTCCTTATATGGTTTATACATACATATACCAGGCGCATCAAGCTCGTAAGCCTTGATAGGGTTACACTGGTTGAGGTGGCCCTTTTCAAGACTTGGAAGCCTGTGGGTAACAAACCATTGGACGTGGAGAGGGTAATTAATTATACGTATATTTTCTACTTTGCCGAACATTAGCGCGAGAACGGTTTGTCCAAAACATATGAATTTGGTCTTATTCAATGCAGGATTAAGTGCCCTTCAACCGTCATGAAGACCACTTTTTGATAGGGTAAGTCCTTTACGCGGTATTACCGGAAAACCGAAAAAATGCCTCTTTCGGGGGCCTCCACCACTTAAGCACAACTCCGTCGAAGTCGAAAACTTAGGAGAGTCTTAATGGGCAACCAATGAAGCCATTAAAACAATAAAATCTTTTGTAGGAATTATTTCCGATTTAAAAGCTAATTCTACTGGACTATTATGCTTAATTAAATAATATGTAAGTTGACACTGACAGAGACTAGCAAAGCAAAAATAATGGCGGCAATGGTCAAATACAAAGCGCGTTCCATTTTGCGCCCGCGCGCTTATACACTCGCGAGCAAAAGTATGGAATCACTTACAAGAATTCCGAGTGCGAGCTGATTGAAAGCGTGCTTATCGGTGACCTGCCGTCAATTTCAAGCCTCTGGCAGGCCTTTTTGGAGTCAAATTCTATTGTTTATAAAAGCGTCTTAAAACTTTCGAAACCCAGGACTGGCTTATGTGGAGCTGACGTGCGACAGCCCGCTGGCTGAGCCCTTCTTGCAATAGTGCAACGATTTGTGCTGCTTCTGAAGGTGTAGAATCCCAGGTAAAGTGTCAAAAGAAGCGGAGATGTGTATGGATCAACGTTTGAAAGCAAAAATCCGATAACACTTGCTTTTATGGGGGGTAAATAGGCCGCAACTCGCGACGTATCAAACAGTTGATACATGTCTTTTTCCTTACTTCTTCACATCAGCCGGAATATCTTTTTAAATACTGGTGTGATTTAAATGAATTTTGTATCAATTTAAAGTTAAAAGTTTAATCTTTAAAATGGTGCTACTTTTTTTGTTACTAACAAATTGGTTAGTACACAAGATCGCGTGGAAACAACTTCATGTAAGTGATTCCATACTTTTGCTCGCAAGTGTAGCTTTAGCTAGAAGATACATGGTACTTTAGTTCAATACCATAGTCATAGACTATACTCTACTCATTCACATTGCATTACAATAATTGTTTTTATTGATATGACTAAAGAAGCATGTTCTTGTATGAGTTATTAAATTATCTAAAATCGTAGAAGAAAAACCGAAATAACCGAAAAACCCGGTTTTATAACTGACAAAAACCGAGTTCCAAATTGTGTCGGTTATCCGGTTTTTCGGTTATCCGGTTAACCGGTTTGCATGCCCTAATTCAAGTCTAGTGTTATCATGTAAGGATAACATTATTTTTCACCATCCATCAATCAATGAATGAAACTAATGAGTTTCTATTCATTCATTTTGGGAACAACAAACCATTACACTTACAGAGTGCTGTTTATTTTGTGTGAAGAAGAAACACTTCATCCCCCTACCCACGTATAGACATAGAGACTACATGTGTTACAGTATCCAGGATTCTGTGTATAAGTGTAACATCGTATCGTCCCGTCCGTCCGCATTCAATTGCCTAGACTGCTGGCGATCAGACCTGAATGAGTACACACAATCACAATACTGCTAGGTATATGTTTGTATTGTATCGCACAGCAGCAACTATTTTGTACAGTGGAATACTATGGGGACTTGAACCGATTGCTAAGAACCGAACATAAATTCGATTATTTGTATTAACAAGTAATGAATCGCTAGGTATTTCAATTTGATCGCCCTAAATGTTCCTTTTATTGAAGTTACTGCATCCTATTATCAAGAAAAAATATTTTTTCATCAATAAATTCGTAAGCTAATTTATTTTCTAAAGTAATAAAGCGTCTTATTATGAGTAGCAGCTAATTTGGAAACTTTAAATGGCATTCATTATTACAATTTTATGGACGAACTTTATCTTTGTGGTAAACAACTTCAAAGTTTAACAAAACGTTTAACTGTTAAGAGGGACACTCAAAGATAGTAATAATATTGTTCAAGCAGCCCTTGTCAGTGACTGTAATAAACAAGTAAGCATCTGTTTTCAAACTGTAATTAATGTTTGGTTTAATGTAGCTGTGTTAAATAAACAAGAACTTAGAAATTCAGTCAATCATTCATACAATTTAGATTCAACATATTTATCAAGGCAAGGTTATAATAATATGTCGTTCTGTGATTTTGTAACCAAAATATGTCATAGATAAGACAATTTCCTCGCTCTCCAATTGTTAACACAGCTAACCTCAATACTCGTAGGTTTTGGTCAACGTACTGTCATTTATTTGGTAATCACAAAATGTTATTTCTGAGTTAATATTCATATACCTTGTGATCTACATAATTATTATGTTATTATGTAAGTAAAACTTACGTAAAACCGTTTAAATTTACTTGATACTTTGGATAAATCTACATTCTCATTACTTATTCCTCGATCAACTGTCAACAATTTATCAACTATCAACCTTGTGACCTTCATTTGATGGATGATTGAACGACTGAACCCATTATTGCAGAACGGTTACACCAGCAGCTTATTGTCACCACGTTAGCAAGTCATCCCCGAAGGGCCGTTTGCTGGGTAGGCATTTATAATTCCGTTACGCGAACGTGCCTGAACGCTATGTAGCAACTACCGCGATGTAGGTATGCTGTACCAGATTGGTGTGCGAAATATTTGAAATAGCTACGCAGGGTAAAAGTGCCTTGACTCTTAATATATTGAATGTAACAAAATATTAAGAGTTAGTAAAGCCCACCCAACTAAAATTAATTAATATCTGTCTCAAACGATTTGTCCTGTTCAATGACTCCAATGTGCTTGAGTCCTGAGCCGCATCACTTTTTACCGTAAAAAACAAGCTTTATGGACCAGTATAAATGCCAAATTAGGCGCATGATGTCGCAAAATTGGATGACGTGCACGCAATCCTATCATAAACCGAGCAAATGTAAGGGGAGATTTATATTACAACATGCCTTTTGTTCTGCGGGTTCATTGTAATTTATGTTACAACGGACAATAAACGGCACCAAATAACGTATTATGCTCGTTTGGAGAGCGGCGAGATATGGGCATCGCTTTTTTAGCATTCTGAAATTTTGGCAGTGTTTGGTCGAAGTCGGATGCACATCGGATATTCACTCAACCTATTGTATTGAAGCTGGAATGGAAACATTGAATTTTCAGATATGTCCAGTTTATTCTGTAATCTATTTTGATATTGTTTGTTAGAGCTCGTGAAACACTTCAGCATCAGTAACCAGTTTTTCAGTAGGTATCCGTTTAGAAATAATCGAATAAGATCAGTAATCGTTTCCGCCCTGTATATTTACATCAATTTCATATCGCCACCTAAAACAACAAACGTTATAGGTATAAATAAATAAATAAAAAGTTTTTAAGTAGGTAGAACATAATATTATCTATGTAGAGAAAGAGACTCAATAAACCAGATTGAAAAACTTAGTAACCCCGTCAGTCTCGGGCTAGATAGTATTCATTACTAGAGTTAATTAAGAAGAAGAAGAAGAAGACTAGAGTTAATTTTTATGGTTAATAAAGTTGCTGAGACACATAAGTTCTGAGTGGCGACCACGGGCCGGAAGACGTAGTGTGGGCAGACCCCCAGTAGGACCGACTATCTTTGAAGGTCGCGGGAGGAGCCTGGTTGCGGGCGGCGCGGCGTAGGACCGGTCGTTGCGGAAATTTTTGGGAGGGCCTTTATCCAGCAGTGGACATTATTTGGCTGAAACCAGGCCTCCGTCACTCGCCTATGCCGGCCGAGATAATTACCTACAGCGCGCGACAACTTCAAGTTGCAAATCAGTCCGGGCCGCCACGCGCCTGTTTGCACACGCGTATTTCTATACACGCTCGGTCGATCATAGTCGCAATCAAGGTTTATTGTTCCAACAGCACTGTTATTCTTCTTTAATGAAAAATTTTAATATTTAGGTATAATATTTAACTGTAGTGATTTAAATAATAAAAAAAAACGACACTTTTTAAATAATAAATTATTTTGAAATACTTATGACAAAAAACTATAGCAAAAAAATTATTTTAGCTAATAAAAACATTAACTTTACTTCACTGTGTCTATTTTCCGACACTACACCTTTTAAAACTGTTTGTTTAATTTCGAATTATCGCAACGCTGAAGTTTATTAATAGGTACTTTAGAGATGGTACGATTATACAAACTCCACTAGATTAAAGTTTTCTAATCGTAAATACAATAAATGCCTCTTAAAATTAAGTTTTTATTTATTTTACTTTGCTCATACAACCCTGACGCTTGAGCGGTGACGTAGATCAATTCTAAACACAAAAAAAATGCGCTCTTGTGAGNTGACGTAGATCAATTCTAAACACAAAAAAAATGCGCTCTTGTGAGCGTAGTAGTAAGGTGCGATTTCGAATGCACCATGTGCGTTGGATATTTTGCATTATTATTATTACCGTTAAAATGTCGGCATCTGATCCTACACAAAGGAGTGCAATTTCTGTTGCTACTATTATGTATTCTGTGCTGAAACGAACAAATTAAAGTTTTTTAAGGTATACCTACAAGCGTAAATGTAAATAAACACCCTACACATTGTCCCGTTTATCCTTCACGCAGAGTTCCTGAAGGAGCCAGCGTGCTGGGCTCGCGTGTCTCCCGACTGGAGTCGCTGCGTGGACGAGCTGCAAGGGGCCGTCCGGGACATCACGGATCGCGCGCAGCAGTTGACGTACTTCAACAGAAACGCTGAACTTTGCTGGTATGACTTTAGGGTTCTTTTAAGCATAATATGCAAATAAATCATCATTTTTCATTTTACTTAGGACTAATGTAGTTTGAGCTCCAAGAGGCCGTCCGAGACATTACGGACCGCGCGCAGCAGTTGACGTACTTCAACAGAAACGCTGAACTTTGCTGGTATGATTTTAGGGTTCTTTTTAGCATAATATGCAAATAAATCATCATTTTTCATTTTACTTAGGACTAATGTAGTTTGAGCTTCAAGATGCCGTCCGAGACATTACGGACCGCGCGCAGCAGTTGACGTACTTCAACAGAAACGCTGAACTTTGCTGGTATACTATTCAAATAAATAATTATTTATCATTTTACTTAGGACTAATGTAGTTTGAGCTCCAAGAGGCCGTCCGAGACATTAAGGACCGCGCGCAGCAGTTGACGTACTTCAACAGGACCGCTGAACTTTGCTGGTATGACTTTAGGGTTCTTTTTAGCATAATATGCATATAAATCATCATTTTTCATTTTACTTAAGACTAATGTAGTTTGAGCTCTAAGAGGCCGTCCGAGACATTACGGACCGCGCGCATCAGTTGACTTACTTCAACAGGAACGCTGAACTTTGCTGATATGTTTTTAAGGTTGTTTTTTCACCAGAATTGAGATATGCAGCAATGCTATGGAAATGAGAGCTACGTCAACGTTTCCACTGTGTTTACCTATGTAGCGAACTAGCGAAGCGAAGAAAAATGGGTTCGAACTAATCTGCCTTTAATTTTCTTTCTCAAATTCATTGATAGAAGTGATAAAGATACTTAGCTACTTTATCAATATCGATCGGTACTTACTTATTAGAAGATTTTTATAGACGCGGACTTAGAACCAATTAAAATAATAATAATTGAAAGATATGCCTAATTATTTAATGGACATCACATGTAAGGCCAGATAACAAAACAGTGAGGGCATATTCCATTAGCCGGCATTGGAGGCATGACAAAGATAAAGCCAGAAGTGAATGAAATTATGCTCGTGTACCCACTTTTCCACTGAGTTTGAGTGTTTTATGAGGCGGATGCGGGTAGAACACGAAAATAGAAGTGCCTTGTCAACATAAATCATATTCTCGATTATTATTATTGTTATTGTACAGACGGCAGCACGTCAGACTACCCATGTTTGTGGCAAATTCGCTTTTTCTTTCTATTTTTATTTTCTATTAAAACCTTAATTACCGTTTATTTCATAAATCTCATCAGTAAAATTAAATTAAAAAGCACAATCACAAGATTTCAACAATATTCTAAAAGGCCTTTTAAATCCCCCGGTTCGAACATTAACCTAATGTTAGTGGCGCAGAAACAAAAAGTAATTACAACTCTGTTAGTTAACGTTTTCATACTCAAGTGTAATGTGTTTGTAAGCTCCGCGGTTTTATATCGAAACTTTCGCGAGTTTTTTCACTTTCAACACGCTCTAGCGTACAAAGGCTTTCAGTACACGGTTTAGTAAGTGGTCTGCACTGAACTTTACGTTGCACATGATTAGCTTATGCAGTTTCCGTATAAAATTAAATGCCAAAGGAACTTAAAAGAAAAATAATTTTAGTAAAGTGTTTCATTTATAAGTAAGTACTTAGATTTATCTTTAATGAAAAGCAACTATTATTATCATCAGTAATAATCATTATTATTATTAAGGAAAACCGTACATAGACAATCCATAAAAACGATGCTAAAAGATTTCATCCATTGATGAAAGTTACAACATAACTATTAACTAAGTAGGTTTGACTACACATTGGCAGTAAATACGTTCATACCTCAGATCATAGAAGGGAATATGATCTGAGGTTCATACTTATGTGTAAATTGTATTCAAAAATTCTGCTCATGAGCATACTTTGTAATGCTCATTATTATACTGTGGTACTACTTTTCACTAAAACTGTCGCCAAAATGAATTGTTTTTGCCGCATAAATTGCTAGCGGCACTGCAGCCTGGAATAAGATATAAATCATCTTACGTTTGCAAGTTGCAACATAGAACCATTTTATTAATGGCGTTCGTTTTGTCTACTGCACGCTTATGCAAAAAATTTAGGTTAACACAATTTTTGTTACACACTACAAAATGTAAACTTCCACTATTTACTCAATTCTCTGAAAAAAAATATACCTTAGTACTTAATCGTGTATATTATCTTTGCTCCATTTGTCTTTTAAAATTCATAAACCTCCTACAAATTCATCAATCTTCAAATTATCTATTTAATGTAAAACTAGATTACTTCCGTTTTATGTTTGTTTAATAGAACTAATTACCTATTATATCATCAACTCGTTAGAGGAGTATCAGTATCAACAATAATTATAATTATTATATCAGTCAGTAATAATACCTATCAAGTTATGTAATTCACTGTTGATTAAAACTTTCTGGTTATTAACACAGTAAAATTGGCATTACAAATAAAATTCGAACAGAAAATATTCAAAAAGGTATTAGGTACATACAAATATTTTTTAGGGATAAATATGCCTTTCGTAAACTTCAGTTATTTTTTTTAATCGCTCGCACTTCATAAAGTTTACATTTTGACGCGGCAGATAATGAAAGACTGTCATTGAAGGCATTTTACTTTGAATGGTGGTTATTCAGTTTTGCTTTTAAATCTAAGTAGCTACATAATCCAAACATATTTTTTATTTAATGCTTCAGGTAAATCTGCCCAGTAGGCCTAAGATGCGCGCCGTGATAACTTTTATCGACGTCAAAATGTATGGGCAAAATCGATAAAATGGCGTGATAACCGCTTATTGCGGCGCGCATCTTAGGTCTACAGGACCTTTCTCTTCGCTATTTCATATTCAGCTCATACCTATTTCCATAGAGATTTTCATTATTTTACCGTTCAAATTTTATTTTCCGGAATATTACGATAAAAACGTACGTATATTGAACGTTTACCTTCCATTAATTGTAAACATGAAAGAGTGTTTCATACGTATCGCAAAAAGTCGAATATTCGTAAAATGAAAAATCGGACTAATAAGCCCTAATAAGCCTAAAAAAAGAATGAAAATGTGCTGAAGGTGCGTGCGAAAGTGTGCTGTACGATACTTTTTGTATGGTACTAATTAATTAAATAGTTGCAAAATTACGTAACATGAAAAACATTCTATACCTAGCTATCAGTTCACACCGAATGAGCAGCCTCTGCTACAGGTCTTTGTTTACATCGACATGAAAAGGCATTGGTGGAAAACGCAAAGAACAAAATTACAATTTGGTTTTGTATTCACGTTGGTAGGTATAATGAAAAATTCAAGCCTTATTGGGATTATAAGAGCAGCTTTATTGTTGTCGTGTTCTATTCACGGATTGTCAATAAGCTCGCGATTTGTTCCGTTTTCTTTTCCGAATCAAAGCAGAAAGCTTGTGTAGGCGTGGCTTAGTAATTATTATACAGCTTTTGATTATAAATAAATTCATACAACGTCCTAGTTAGTGATTGGCTAACCTAAAGTAAAACTTTTATGATAGGTATTATCATATTTTTTTATCACAAAAGAACTCAGAAATACTTCTTCATTATTAATCACCATGATAAAATGTTATTGTAAAAGATCGTAAATTCAAGACTTTCTGAATAAGAATACCCAGAGGTAAAAAGTAGCTCTTTTTCCCATCTATCACTATTCCATTTCCCGAGAGAGAATATCATTAAATCGTGAAGGAATCTGAACAAAATGCCGATAATGAAAACGGACTTGAGGCTTGAACATTTTGTTTGAGGAAAAACCTTACCAATCTTACCGACCCTTTTGTTACGATTTAATTTAACTCGGCGTAAAAACCTTGCTTTATTTAGATAATACGCTTGTCTTAATAAAAAGCCGTTAAATGTTGGGTTTGTGGCCATCGACGCAAAACGCGGTATTTGTACGCAACAATATAAGCTTTTTGGTGTCTTTTCATTGTGACATTAAATTTAGGCTTTTTGTTACAAAAATAAGAAGTACCTAAATGCCTAAATGAAATTTATTTTCTTATTTGATATTAATTTATTCTAAGTATTTTACTTTGGTATGTAGTAGGTACTAATGTAAGTCCTGGCGTGGAGGTCACGTACCTACCGGAAAACGCAGCGTGGGACGTCCACCCACAAGGTGGACCGACGACCTCATAAAGATAGCAGGAAGACGCTCGATGCAGGCCACTACCAACCGGGCTATGTGGCAAGTGGAAGTCATTGGGGGAGGCCTATGGTCAGCAGTGGACGTCTTGTGGCTGAAATGATGATGATGATGACTAATGTACGTAATTAATCTACTTCTCGTGATATCTAAGAACAATAATGTACTTTAATAAAAATAAAGAATGTATGCGCAAACTATAAGGGTTCCTTATCAGAACTACGGAACCCTAAAAAGGACGTGGCAGTATTAGGAAAATCATATACAAGTTGATCATTGAAGTTGAACATTTGTATGATATCCAAGTTAACGAACAAAGTTATCGTATTGATCCAAGTTAACGAACACGATCGACAATAATTGTGTATGACGAAATACACTTACGAGTATGTAGCTTTCACACGTTCTCGTCTAAGCCTCTCGCTATTTCTCTGCATGTTATCAATAGACTATTTGACACCATTCCCCAATAATTCGAAAACACAACTTTTTAAAAAAGACACTCCATTGTGGTCTTAAAACTTAATACATTTTAAATAGTTGTTGCAATATTCACGAATACGAGGGAGCTTTACACGTGTGGTGGCTCGCTACTGTTCGTTTTTCAAAAGTTTTGATAGACACTATCGTTATGTGCATGTACACACACAAGTACGTACCTAAAGCTCACTCGCCTTCGTGAGTTGCAAGAACTATACCTAAATTACTTGGTTGCATTGTAAAAATAGTTTAATTGAGTTTACAAAATAGTGACGTCACTTGCTTGTATTGCCATACAAAATCTATGGGAGTCACGTTCTGACAGTTTTGAAAAGTACGTCAATTGATTGGTGGTGTCAACACGTCTATTGTTAATCCTTCCAATCAATCCGCTCTCCTGATCACTTCAATCCGCTCTCCTGATCACTTCAATCCCCTCTCCTGATCACTTTCTTCTCTCCGTCCGATCCTTCCGTTCCGTTTTTTTTTTCTTTCCTTAACCGTTTCCCCGTTTTTACTCGACGAATGGCAACACACAAGCCGTGTAAAGCCAAGAAAAGAAAAAAAATCGTTCCAAAACAAAAGCCAAATCTAATTTTCAAATCTTCCGCAGCGCAAGAGACGCGTTCATAATGTGCGTGGCGCACGCCGGGCGGTCGTGCTCGGCGTCGGCGGGCACGCTGCTCCGACGCATGGCGTGGGTGCTGGCGCAAGACGTGGCCGCGTGCACGCAGCAACCACGCGCTACGTGCGCCGCCTCCCCGCCGCCCCTCGCCGCGCCGCTGCTGACGGCGCTGTATGGCGTGGTCATGTACCCGCCCAGGCTTTAAATTAAGTTTGTGATTGTAAATAAGGTTATTATCGATTCATTACCCATTCGTGCATTTTTTTTTCTAAGATGCAAAACAACAGCCCGGTTACTGGCATTCTTTCATGCCAGCGAATTCAGCATCAACCACCGCCGCTCCTCTGTTAACAGCGCTATATGGCGTGCTCTTGTACCCCGCCCAGTCTTTAAATTCAGTTTGTGTGATAGGGTAATATATGTCTTAATTACCCATTCGTGCATTTTTTTTACTAAGATGCCTAGCAAGTAGCAGCAGATCGGTTACAACTTGAATTTTTTGGTGCCAACGAATTCAGCATCAACGATGGACAACCAAAATTTAACCCAGCCACTTTTTATTGGCTTTTTATTGCAAATAAAGTTATGATTCAGTATTTTTTACCCCATTCCTGAAAAAACAGTCCGTACGATACAGAATAGGAAACCGTTTACTCGCATTCTTTTATGATAGTGAATTGTGATTCAGTGTCACGTCGTCCTCATTCTATGACTCCCATTTCCCTTTATTTGCTTGCACTTGGTTGTTTGTAGATACAATGAAACCCAACAAACGTTAAAAGCCAGCTAAATGTGAAAGAATATGGGTAGTATCAATTGTAAGAACATGAATGAACCGAGCGAGGTTAATTTAATTTTATTCGATCAGAGAGCCATAAAATGTATATGGCGAGAGAGCCATAATAATGTAGGTACTTATTTGTTATGTGTATTCTCGTCTTTACCTCACGCCAAGCACTCATAATATAGGTAATTGTCAGTAGGAAATCAAATATTTCCAAGAATTTAATAGGAATTAAGTATTATATCAAGTTCACTATGGAATAATCGGTTCTGCGCAATCTAAAAGTTTAAAAAAATCCTATAATCATAAAAATCTGCTTAAAAATTACACCATCATCAATGTAAAATATAACTCTATTTACCTAGGTAATCAGTTTTAAATGAAATGTGTGTAATTTAAATGTGTACATAAATGGATTTAGGTAAGAATGGCTCAAAATAGTGCGATAAATTATTGTCGGATGGACCCATGGTAAAATTAATAATCGAAATTAGTCATAAGTGGGTTAAAAGGGTCGGTACCAATCAAACTTGTAGATATGTTTTATTAAAGACATAATAGTGAGGTAAATTAACACACTGGAAGTGTTTTATTAAGCTTCTATACAGCTTTTTGTCAGCCAATAGCAAATCATGTAAGTTATTATGCACGATATTTTCAGTGCTGTTGAGGAAATGTAAATTACCTAATTCTAATTCATTCGAGCGACTATAGTTATCAGCAAAGATAATATATTGTAAGTTCAATACATCATTAGCAACACAATTTTCAATATCTTTTAGATAGATACTACATAGGAAATAGAAGTATGATTAATTAATCAAGATTCCCTTGGGACTTGATGCAATATCAGGATGTAATATTAAATTACTCAATGTAAAACATCACTCGGTTCATATTAAATGTGTCATACATATCCTGCGTTCAGTCGATCATACGCGGTCGATGGTGTACGTAGAGACTCTACAACAAAACAATATACTTCACATGGACCCCTCAGGCTAAAAATAAAAAAGATTATAGGATTCATGCGTACTACTAGACAAGTTATTCAAAATAAAAATTGTATCACAGCGAACACACCCGCGCTGTTAACCAAAAATGTTTCAAACCATGTAAAACAAAGTGGAATGTAGTAATATTTAAAACAACAAAGCCTAGGGGCACATCTGCCCTTCTTGCTCGCTCGCAATCAACTAAATGAGTTGTTGATAAGTGTCTATAACTTAGGGAGCTATTCATCTGCTAACAACTACGTCCATAAATGTGTACTGTGTTCTTAAAAATCTTTGGTACACGCCCGTCTCATTCGCCTCCTGCTTTCTGAGTGTATCATGCTTTAGTCACTTTTAAGAAATAGGTCATAAGTAGATATAATTTATGTAACATTTATACATGTGTAGAAAATTTATGAATATTTTTTTGTAAGAAATGATGTAACTAAGTCCCACACTTTGAGTGTTGTGCCGAAATAAACGATTAAACGAACAAACGCTTTTTTTTACATTTTCTTTCTACATAGTATGAATGGCGATGAATTCTCTTTCTGGTTTTTAAAATGTTTCGAGCACAACAATGTTATCTGGAACAACAATACAATCATTTAGGTCTATTTTGTCCGTGACTTGGGTATTCATTTTACTAAATAAGACTTTAGTATGGTCCCAGTATTTTCCAGATTTTACTCTTGGACAATGATTAAAAGTCTTTATCAAAACACAATAACTTATAACTGCACACAAGTTTTTCCATTAAAGGAGGATTCATATTACATACCTACCTAGTGTAAGTGCAAAATAAATTCTAAACCAGAACGCATATTTTTTAAACGTTTTTAGCTCTTTACATTTTAAAACTTTGTTGGAACTAGTTAGTTCCTAGTTGAAATGTAATTCGACGAGAGCAGAACTCCTGGACATCTGCACAAACTCAAGCTTAAAAAGCAGACAAGAACTTTCGATTGTGCTGACCTGTTTTAGCTTTCAAATTAATTTTCACCTTTATATTTACGTTTTGCGAAGATACTAAGTAAGTCAGTTTTACCAGATAAAGTACTTGACAGGTAATCAGGAAGTTATCTGTCAGAGAAACTAGAGCTTTTGGTTTCACAGTCTCAGATATATCTAGCTGATAAATGAAGTCACCAATAATCAGCAACTGTTGCGTTATTCAGATAAATGTCTAAAACTTTATCAGAACGAGTGAAACAGGCGCTGAGTAAGTATTATGGATGTAGCCTACGTTGCGAAGTTTAATGGGTTTTATGAATATAGGAATATTATCGGCCGTTTGGTGTAGTGGTTCAGAACGGACTGCTATGCCGAGAGGTCCCGGGTTCGATTCCCGGCCGGGCAGAAATTGAAATGATGAATTTTAATTTCTGTGACGGGTCTGGGTGTGACTATGTATAATATTTATGTATTTAAAAAAAAAAGTATAGGGGAGAGTTCGGTATATTGTACCGCCGGGTAAATTGTACCACCCTCATATTTCGTAAAGTATTTATTGAATGTCTGTAATTGCAACACTCAGCGATACATAAATAAATTCAATTAATATCGGCCATGTGGTTTTTGCCGTGACAATTAACACGTGTGTTTTATTTTGAAAAGTATTTTTTCATTGTTTTCAAGTAACTTTTGACAATGCATGTTTAGTTTGTAATTTTGTTAAATTTAATCACAGGGTGTTTCTAATATATTATTTAGAAGCGTAAATTAGTGTGGATTACAATTATTTGAAAGATTTTTCGGTATTCATAAGCTATATTTTTTACCGATTTTTTAATAGCAATATCACCTAGTCGGCTAAATTGTACCACATCAAGTTGTATGGAACTTTACCAAAGGATTTTGAAAATTTTTTTTAGTAAATCATATTTTGAAGTTTTATTTGCGTAGTTATGTTTAACTAACAATAAATGAAAGGAAAAGACTGGCAAAGTAGGTTAGGTACAAGTGTGCGTTACGATAATTGGAATTACAAAACTTTTACTCAAAATCGTGATAACGTGTAAAACAATATCGATTGTCTATGTTATTAACTACTGTTCCTTTTCGTTACCTAATTTGTTAAGAATGTATCATATAATATTTTGCCATAGTTTTTTTATAGGCTGGAAATATATTGAAATCCAATTTAGTAACCCCGTGGTACAAATTATCGAACCGGTCGGCTAAATTGGACCGAAGCTCTGAACTCGTATTTTGTTGATTTGTGCTAAATATACAACAATTATGTTGATTAATACCTATGAAATAGTAAGTTGAATAATTTCTTTATAATTATACACCATGAACATTAGAAAAAACAAAAGAAAACTATGTGTAAAATGGGATTGAAAAAAACTGGTCCAAATTAGCGGACTCTCCCTTATAAGTAGTATATCCGTTAAGCTAGCACCCATAACATAAGCATTAAGTTGCTTACTTTGGGGCTAGCTGGCGCTGTGTGAAATTGTCCAAAGATTTATTTATTTATTTATTGTCCAAAGATTTATTAGGAATTCATGAACCGTCTGTGAACGACGAACTAGTACTTGTCCTATGTACTGTTACTGTTGACATCAAATCAGAGTAATATTTTAGTGAAAAATAGCCTCTATTGCAACCAGATAAGACTCCACTAGGACCGACGATCTGGTGAAGGTCGCGGGAGGTGTCTGGATGTGGGCGGCGAGGACCGGTCGTTGTGGAAATCCTTGGGGGAGGCCTTTGTCCAGCAGTGGACGTCATTTGGCTGAAACGAAGACTCCACTGTATTTAACTTTATGTTTTGTCGTGTCCGTACGAGTACAGAGATAATACTGAAATTATTTAGAAAATGTGGTTGTAAGAAACAATTTCAGTAAATACTGAATGAGTTTTCTGCCGTTTCATTGAAAAAAAAATTAAAAATTATAGCATTTTCCTTGTTTCATTTTGTCGTTAATCGAGTAAGAAAATTTCATGATAGCAGCTGGTTTCGTATATTTTTCCATTCTATTATTTTTGGTCTCTTATTTCAGGAGGAAAATGTCTTTGAAATGCAAGACAAAGTATGAGTTCAGTTAAACTAAATACTCTTTGAAATTCTGAAATTTAAAATAATAGATGAAAAAGTATGAACTAAAATAATGTTGCTTAATAAGAGCTAAGTATCCATATAAAGACCAAATTCAAAAGCCGTGTACTTAATTCTGAAAGTGCTTTTACGAAAATAACAAGATGGGTCAACAAAAAGCGACACATAGGTAGAGGTATAATAAAAGTAACTTAGGTGTAATACGACTGTCCAGTTTTATTTATATTTATGGCAAGATTCACTTACGTTTTGGGTGCTAACTTTACGGTTTGTGAAACTAAAAAACCTGACCAGGTTCTTTAAAGATCTTTAAAATATTTTCTGTCAGCCTTTTGATTTGGCCACAGAATGTCTTTATCGCACATTTTGGTAGCAAAAATTAAAAATACGATTGAATA